TGGTGGTTTGCAACAAATGCAGGCGACAGTCGAATCCAGTCCATACGATACCAAGTTTTTGCCAACAAGTTTGACTGAAGGGGCAAGTAAAAATCATGTGATCCACCGTTTCTTCCTCTTGACCCCCGCATAGGAGGCAACTATGATCATCACCAATGTCATAATGACGGCGTTTTAACATGTTGCATGTGTTGAGTCTGCCATGAAGTAAGAGCCACCCGAAGACTTTAATTCTCATGATGCAATGAGAACGCCATCAACACTTGAAGATGGGATGAACAGTTGCATCTCTGAAGTAGTATTGGTAATAGTCGGTTGATCTGTAATCCGTCTTTCCCCAAGTATAGTACCAGGCGTCATTAATGGAGGAGGTCGGGCTCATGTGGAAGAAACCATTTGGATGTCCCGCACCTCATTCAAAGCCTGTGGGGATAGAGGGAGGTGGAAGGCCGCAGCGAGCATCGTGCTCTCCAAGAAACCCTTGATGGATATGTCTTCATGCATGGCAAAGGAGAAGGCGTGGGGTGTGAGGATTGTAATACATCATTGCCCCAAACATCCTTCCAAAACAGCGTTGTTGTGCCGGACACCACCTGCACCTAAGATACCTATCCTGCACATCTTCAAATGAGTTGAAATTTTACGGAGAATTATTTTGGAATATATAAAAATATATTGGAGAAAAGAAATACCAGAGGATGCCACCCAGGTGCCCACTAGGCACCAGGGTGTGCCTGCCCCCCTAGCGCGCCCTGGTGGGTAGCGGACTCCCTGCCCAGCCTTCGGTGCCCATCTTTTGATATATAAGGCCATTTTCCCTAGAAAAAATAAGAGGACTTTCGGGATGGAGCGCCGATGTCTCAAGGCGGAACTTGGGCATGAGCACTTTTACTCTTCGGCGGAGCAATTCCGTCGGGGATACTTCCCTCCGGGAGGGGGAAATCGAAGCCATCTTCATCACCAACAACCACTCATCATGGGAGGGCCAATATCCATCAACATCTTCAACAGCACCATCTCATCTCAAAGCCCTAGTTCATCTCTTGTGTTCAATCTTTGTATCAAAACCTCAGATTGGTACATGTGGGTGACTAGTAGTGTTGATTACATCTTGTAGTTGATGCTAGCCGGTTTATTTGATGGAAGATTATATGTTCAGATCTATTATGCTATTCAATACTTCTCTGATCTTGAGCATGAATATGTTGTGTGAGTAGTTACTTTTTGTTCTTGAGGACATGGGAGAAGTCTTGTCATAAGTAATCGTGTGAATTTGATATTCGTTAGATATTTTGATGATATGTATGTTGTGATTCCCTTAGTGGTGTTATGTGAACGTCGACTACATGACACTTCACCATCTTTGGGCCTAAGGGAATGCATTGTGGAGTAGTTATTATATGATGGGTTGCTAGAGTGACAGAAGCTTAAACCCTAGTTTATGCGCTATTCCGTAAGGGGCTGATTTGGATCCATATGTTTAATGCTATGGTTAGATTTTATCTTAATTCTTCTTTCGTAGTTGCGGATGTTTGCGAGAGGAGTTAATCATAAGTGGGAGGCTTGTTCAAGTAAAAATAGCACCCAAGCACTGGTCCACCCACATATCAAATTATCAAAGTAGCAAACGCGAATCAAACCAACATGATGAAAGTGACTAGATGAAATTCTCATGTGTCCTCATGAACGATTTGCTTACTATAAGAGACTGTTCCAGCCTGTCCTTTGCTACAAAAAGGATTGGGCTACCTTGTTGCACCTATTGTCACTAGTGCTATCTATTACTTCTTACAAATTATCTTTCTATCAAACTACCTATTACCGACAATTTCAGTGCATGCATAAATTACCTTGTCGAAAACCGCTTGTCATTTCCTTCTGCTCCTTGTTGAGTTCGACACTCTTACTTATAGAAAGGACTACAATTGATCCTCTATACTTATGGGTCATCACGACGCCCAACAACGAACTTATAAGAGAATGCAATCGACTTAATGAAATGACTGCAGTGCCCATGCAAGAACTTGAAGAAGAAGGCAACCACCAATCCCATCCCCACTCCAAAGACTTGGCCCCAAAGATGGGGACCTGCCCGACTGGCATGAGCGAACCAGCCCGGCGTGAGGGTGCATGCGCACACCCGCCTGGATGCCCTTTGGCCAACCAGGTAGCATGCGCGTACCCGACACGCGACAAATGGGCCTGACAAGATGGCCCACGCGAGAGCCGGTTCTGCGGGCGAAGTGTATGACCGGATAACACGAACAAACTAGCTTGGCACGGGGCGTAGGGTCCTAACAGGGCGGCCCCATGAGCAAGCCAGCGTTGCGTCGTGATGCAGGGATCGGCTGCCGCAAGCGAACTAGACATGAGAACGGCCTGCGCGCAAGCCGGCGCAACGAGGCGCAATGAAAGCCTCGGTTGTCTCCACTGAGCTCGCCCGACGCACGACGGTGAAGCCGATAGGCAGACCCGCTTGAAATTTCGCGCGCGTAGCGTCAGGTGAAGACGCTACTATGCAGACGGCTTGCATCGCCCGTAGCGACCACACCAATCGTCTGGGGTGAAGACGCTGCTACGCGGGTCTAGCCAAGCCCTCGCGAGCGGGCAGTGCATGTTGGAAGCCGCCCAATAATGGGTAGAACGGACGCGCTGGGCAGTCCACCCGTCATGGACCTTCCAACCAGGTCGCCCAGGCGCGAGCCATCCGATGGCCCCTGGGGCGCTAGGCAGTCCACCCGTCATGGACCTCCTAGGCAGACCCGGCCAGACCATCGGCGGGCGTCTTTCAGCTACGGGTGCCGCCCAACGATGGGTGGACGCGCTGCAAGGTCTTCCCGTCCTGGACCCTTTAGCCGGGTTGCCCGAACGCAAGCCGTCCGGACAGATCAGACGGCTCGCATCGCCCCCGGGAGCCTCCCGCCACAAGCCACCCGACAACTGGTGCTCACACGGAGAGCCCAGGAAGGCGAGTATTCCACCATACTATATAGGAGCAATGCACGCATAGGTTGTTTGAAGAGGAACGAGGTCACCTGGCTTTCAATGGCACGTGCTCAGGATCTAGTCATCGGTCCAATTGGTGCTTGTGGTGCTGGTGTAGGATTTATGATGATGTTCATAGGATGCTCCGCACGAACAACACTAGGCTAATTTCATTGTTGCGGTGTAAGTGTTGCCTTCTATCATACAAGCTAAAGCTAAAATTTTGAGTTGGCTTCTTCTATCATACATGCTAAAGCTAAAGCTTTGAGTTGGGTTCTGAAGTATTTTAAGGCGTTGAACCTTTACAAACCAAATTTAAATTTCTTAACAGCTAAATATGTTTTGATAGAGGCAGCAGCAAGAGTCCCCTGAAGAACACGCAGGCCACCGAACCATCAGACCTACACGTAATACATTCATCAATGACACTCGAGGAGTCTTCAAGATAAACAATGTAGCACGTAGGCAAGCTCGGGAGGGTTATAACTTTCATAATGTAGGAGCGTGTATTTCGACTTGTGCTGGTGTTAGATATGACAAGGCTTCGTGTAGTGTCATAGCATGTATTGCTAACCTCAATGTGCAATTCTACACATTGCTTTATGACTTGTTTATAAGTAGAAATAAATCCATTAAGTTCTTAAAAATGGAAAGAATTGAATGCTTACATTTCATATTTGAATAGGACCCTGATAAGTGTCACATGAGTGGCATGAACACATAGCAACTCCAAACATTTTTATGACAAGTTTAATGACGCGAGGATGATAAGTGTCACATAAGTGACAAGAACACATGGCAATTCCGAACGCTTTTTATGGCAAGTTAGTGACACAACGTTGGCAACTTCAAGAACACATGGCAACCTCAAATATTTTTTATAGCAAGTTTAGTGACACAAGGATGGCAACTTTAGTTTTCAAACATGGCAACTCCCTTTTGGATGGCAAGTTTCAGTTTTTCTTGGATTTGTTTTTTTTCTTTTCAGATGGCAAATTTCGTTGTAAAAGAGTCAAGACCGGAGTGTGCCACACGTGTGGCATTTATCATTTGGGTTTAAATAAATCCCCTTTGCAAGTTTACTAGCAAAGACCTTGATTCTCATCTTTTAGGGGTGCAACTAGTCTAGTAGACAGCAAGCATATATTTTTTCGAAACGGAGGCATAAGATTTGCCTCATCTATTAAATAAGGAGAGAATAGAGTTTAGAGAATTACAACACACCCACACATTCGGCATAACAATTACTCACCCAGAAAAATATTCCCTAATTTCTTTGCGCCCGCGGCCATCCAAAACTTGGCCTCGTCGACGATGGCGGTGAGTAGGATGGTCGGTGGTGCACTTTTGTGGCGGAACACCCGTGCATTTCTTTCATTCCAAATGGTCCAACAGACGAGCATGGTGAGAGAGGCCATAGCTTGCCGGTTAGGGTTGCGGTTGTCGGTTCTCTTGTCCCACCACTGGTAGACGGAGTCGTCCATGAGCCACTCGGAAGTATCCATGTGCGCAAGACCTAGTTTCTCAATAAGAGACTTTCATAACCGAATCGTGTAGCGACACTTGAAGAAAAGATGGGTTCCTGATTCTTGCTCCCTATTGCAAAGGCCACAATTTGGCCAACCTCGACGCTTTAAGTGATCGGCGGTCCAAATCCTATCTTGCAACGCCAACCAAGATTCTTGCTCCCTATTGCAAAGCTTGCAAAGGCCACAATTTGGCCAACCTCGACGCTCCAAGCGATCGGCGGTCCAAATCCTATCTTGCAACCCCAACCAAGCAAAAAACAACGCCAACCAGACAGCAAGCATACATACATTGTATAGTGAATTGTTCCTTTTGTTGCCTGACAGGGTCCATTTACATATTTCCTTAGATGCCACCAGGAGGGGAGAGGGAATAAAAACTTTGAATGGACTAAAATTGCCACATTGTCAACAAATGAAATGAATAGCTCAAGGTCAGGTAAGCCTCAAAAGGAAATAAGTCATCCAGCACTATATACTTGGTTCAGATCATTTTAAAGGCGTCTGCGTGGATGTATACATGGGCGCAAGTGGAAACATACGGAATTCATCGGAATCTGGGCGATCACACTGATGTGGCTTTGTGGAAAGGCCAGGATTTGCAATGTGTTGTGACGCTTGTAAATTTGATGCAATCCTACTGGTAGTTTGGTTCTCTTCCTGTGAAAGCCTTGCAGCGGCTTCCGAAGCTTTTTGTTTCTCCCTTTCTTCTGTCTCCTTGAGTAGAAAGTCCACCCAGAGATCTGCAAAGGACTGCAAATATTTGGAACTTAGGGTATTGAGAAAACAAGTAGCACCAAGTTATAATTTAACCAAACTTGAATGTCACTTGTTTCTGACTTTTTATGTGGCTGCCATATTTTGATGCAACAGAGATATGATTACATCATGGGAAGAACAAAGTAAGGACAAAAAGAACCCACCTGGTTATCCTGGGGTGCATGTGTAGATTTTCCTGCTGAATTTCCACCAACAAATCCTCCAACTAGACGCCCAGGAAGACCCAAAACACCGCGGACAACAACCTTACCAACATTGCTCTGTGCAGAACCAATTCTTTGCTTGTCCTCCTCGGAGAAGCCAAGCATGCGAACCATAAGATCCAATACCTGGATGTACCCAATATTTGGATATTACTTGATGAGAATTTTCTAGTTGATAAGTTTCATGATACCATAAATAATTTGAAGGAGCCAATCACCTCTTTGCTGTGATTCCGTTGGAAGTATGTAACTAGTAGTTTGATCACAATTCGTCTGCAAGAGAAATTCACTTATCATATATCCACGTAGCTCATGCGAACATAAAAGCACAAACAGGCATATACATCCAGTTGGAACATCCTGCAGAAAGAAAACTTTAGCATAAATATGATCACCGTTTTCAGATATGTTTGACATTAACAGATGTCACAATATGGCCACCAAATAGCCAGCAGACAAGTGCCAATCACTAAATATTGGTTATTCCACCTTCTGTATTTATTTTTTCTAAAAAGGATTGAGCCCAAAAAATTATTGGTGGAATTTACTGTGTACATAATTGTTCTGCAAAATTCTGAATGTTTTTAAGGTATACATAGTAGGCCTCCACACAGTATGTAGTATGCCAGACCCTGTTTCAATGCATAAACCAAATATCATCTGCGTGTGCACATATGTATTCATCAAAACCATCAGAGGGGCAATAGTCAGCACCTGTCAACAGAGTTATCTGAATCAAGTGACATCCTATTGACTGTTGTCATGCTTTGTTCTAGCGCATGCCTTAATCTTGAATTGTCATCCTCAAGCTTCTGCAGGGAGCGCTTCCCGTCCGCTAACATCTTCTCGGCTTGAGTAAGTTTGGCAACTACCTCGTCCTTTTCCCTTCTTGAAATTTCAATTCCTTGATTTGCCACCTGCAAAATCTAATAGCTTTAGTGATGACATTCAGAACTGGCTGCATAACATTCTTGCACTGCTTAGAAATCAAAGTACACGCACTAAGAAGCATATTTTCTTTACTACAAACGCATTCACTCAAAAGAAATTCAATCAATTGGGTGAAAATGAGTTGAACTATACTGATAATAGTATGTTCCAAAGTTCAGAAATGCTTGCTAAAGTGAAGTGAAGGTATTAGCAGTTGTTACCTTCAGTGACTCAGATAATTTAGCCAATGCTTCTCTAGCCATAGCTAAATCATCCCCAAGTCGCTCCTGTATCATATGTAAAAGTGCACAAAAATCAAGCTGAAATCTTGCAAATATAGAACATTAGGCTTCAAAGCAAGGATAGTTTGAAACGTGCCAATCACCTTTGCTTCACTCTCGGCATAGTACTGTCCAAGGGCACTCTGCAGATTAAGCAGTTCCTGATCTTTTGATTCAAGTGCATTCATACAGTTTGCAAGCTTGTATTGCAGATCTTCTATCTGTTCATTTGACCTCGAGTGTTCATCATTTATGGTCTTCTTACTCTCCTCCTGCTTTGTCATCTCAACCTTTAATGCCCTCTCTAACTGCACTATATGAGCTCTTTGCTGCTCACAGATTACCCGCAATTCTTCAATGACTTTGCTATCTTCATCCATCTTTTCTTGGTCTTCAAGGTCCTATGAAGAATAACAAGTTTGCTATTAAGAATGATACTACCACATCATTCTATTTCCTTTTAAGCAGATGAGTTTTGCATAAAGCACGCAACATACTAAATTGTTCAAATGAAGTTACGTGGAATAGCTTCTGCACAACCTAATCCTCTCTCCATCTTATTAGGTAGCTGAATTGCAAGTGTGGGAACTAAAAATTGAGACTAGTGTTACCTTATCTAACAAATGCTGCTTCAGCCGAGACAAATTTTGTAATGCTCTGTCTCGCTCGTGAAAAGCACCCTGTAAAGCTTTCTTCAATGAAGCCATCTCGTCCTTGACCTTCATAGTGGAACTACAAGCACATTAGTATTTTTGTTCCCTTGACAATTTATATTTAGTAATACTACACACTAACAAAACCATATGTTGCAGGTCCATAACTTGGGTTAAAAGGTATCCATAGTGAAATGTACAGCCTATTACTTTTGACAGTGCAAGATTGCTCTCTTACTAGCTAAATTGTAGAAATTTTACTTTACCAAAGTACAAAATTGGGACTTCGGGAGTATACATTAAGGTTATAATTTCACTTCAAAGATCTGAACCTAACAAATAAAACAATAGGATGCTTAGCAGTCTATCTCATGTGTCTTCCAGATGAGCTACCACATTCCAAATTATTATATATTTGTAGTATGTGTAAATCACAACAGAAGAATATTTTACCTTACCCACATCAGAAAAATTGTCAACATCAGAAGTACTATTGTCAACATTTTGTGTTGTGCTTTCCATATCAACAAGCTCTTCGTCAAGGCTGCCCTTCGCTATCTGCAGAAGCAAAAGACTGCTGTCAGATTCCTCAGCCACATAATGAGTCCAGTTACAGTTACAGCATAACAATATTCGTAAAACTGCAGTAAATATATAATCGCTTTTAAGCATTACTTAAACATTTACGCAATTGCTACATTAATTTAGACCTTCAAATCTGAATTCTCCTTCTGTAGAGCCATCACCATACTTCGAAGGCTCTGAAGAGATCCATCTGATGCACACTCATTGTCCCTTGTACTCAACTCATCTTGCAGGCATCTCAACTCTGCTTTCTTCTCACTTAATTCCTTATGTAACTCTTCCATGGTAGTTGCTACCTGTGAACGTGTAAATACAGCACGTTCATTATTCCATACATAGCCAGCAATGTTCTTATGGCGGTAAGGCACCCTACAGCAGGCAGCCAGCGCCTTGACGCCTAGGCGCATAAGATGGGTAAAAATCTAAGCCGTTGCCAGGGCGCCTTGTCGCCTAAGCGTCCAACATCTTGTAACCAGATAAACATAACCACGGAGTCCTATCTGTCATCTAAATGCAGGACAGGAATTCCAATGCTAGAGAAGCATATACAGACCCGAGGAGCAGATAATTAATGTATCAATTTCTCTTCTATTTATATTGACTATGAGCTTACCATCTCTCTACCGACCTTCAGTTCATTTAGCTGCTGCTGAAGAAATTCGTTCCTCTTGTTTTCATCTGAGGGGAAATAATATATTTCAACAGAAAAAAAAATACAAGATGTTGTGCAAACTACTTCAAGTTGGAACAGCTTAGGTTTCACACTGACATACCTTCTAACCTCCATGTTGTTTCATCTTCTTTGTTTGAATAGCACCTGAGTTGCTGTTTCAATTGTTTAATTTCATTTTCAAGACTAGCCTGTTTAGAAGCAAAATATGCTCTTTCTTCCACCAGTGCATCTCCCTGTAACATAATATGCATTGAATAAAGAGTAATAGTTGTTTCTTGCAGCGTGCTGTTCTTAACAGGTAATGATAGAACAAAACACATCTTGTCAATAACTTCCAAAGAGGAGTGAAGCATGAACACAATATAAGTTATGAATTTATAGATTAATAATGTCGTGATGACACTGCTTATAGCTATACCTTATAATGCACTGGCAATGGGTGAGGACCATTTTTCTGTATAACCTGTGAAGCACCACCACCATACCCATTCTGTTTTAAGACACTCGACGTTTTTTCTTGATCTGTGTTCCTTTGCATTCTGCTAGGTGATCTTTGCAAAGTACCCTATAAAAACTGAAGTTGGTGACATGGCATACAGCATGCTAAGTGATCAGTACGATGTGGATATCAAATTACTCGATTACATTAGAATTGCCTGAGACTGCCTTATAGTTAGAGCTCTCCATACTTCTTCTCAATGAGCCATTTTCTTCACGAAGTTTTACCAGTTGCTCCTGTCATAACATATACACCGCTGGATGCTCAGAAATATTGTGAGCCATATTGTCACCGAGTTGATAAATATGTTGTATGCTTTCAAATGTCATCACCAATTTACCATTCAATGAATTAACTGTTTTACTGGCACTAAGAAGCCAAAGAAGCTCAATGCATGCGTCTAGCATCTAAAAAACAATGTTTTCAGCATCAGCAATCTGATTCTGATAAACAGG